AGCTGGGAATAATGGCTAAGGGTTGTGCAGAAGTCACAAATAGGAACAATGTGATTGAAATTCAGAAATCAAAACTTTAGCCTTATCATTAAGAACACTGACTTAAGGTTTAAGTCAAGTCAAACAAAAGGCTGAAAGTCCATGGCTTGATATAGATGTCTGATAATAATTCAGTTGCATGGCTTTTATTTATCCAGTGAGAGAGATACAAGAAAGACAAGATTTACTTCTGCCTTCAAGGTACACTTTTCTAAGTGGTTTGGCTTTGGTTTTTTCTTTTTTTATCTCAGTAACACTGACACAGTGGAAATATGTAAAATATAGTATCAGCTGCATTTTAATGATAATATAATCCAAGTACTGAACAGTTTTATGAACATCACAAAATGAATTACAAAAAGCTCTAATCCTGGGCCTGGGGTAACTTCAATTTCACTTTGCCATACTAGGGAAGAAATGATGCATTTTTTGCTTGGTCTTTAAAAGGCAGCAATCCTTCTTGCAAAATAAAACTAAAAGTGGCTAACTACCGTGCAGCCTTAGAAATCTTTTCACACAGTCTTCTTGGGACTAGAACCCACAATGTAATCTCTACTACAGTGTAAAAACCACACCTTTTCTAAACTGTTGGCTAAGACTAAAAACCTCCTCTGTAGGATCTGCAAGACATGTTCAGGTATAAGGTCTCCACTGAAGCTGGTCCAAAGTCGGTCTTGCCCCAGCTTGTTGGTTACTGAGCAACTGCTCATGACAAAAGGGAAGTGTGGTATTGCTCCACTCAGTCTAAAGGACTGTTAGGAACCAAGAAAGGGTTCAGTATATTATGAAAGAATAAATAAGAAAAGCTAAACTATTACAATAAATGTCTTTCACAAAGGATTTCTGATGCTGAAAGTTATAATTGCTTATAATGTATTCTAAACATGCACAGGACTTTCAGCACATGAAAACTCAAAGCAGCACTCCCAGAAATTGTCATCGTAAAGTCTGCTGCAAAGACTTCTCCAGGGCAAACCTCTGCACTAGCCTGAATCTCCCTGACTTCAAGCCCAGTCCTGCAGCCTTTATTTATGTGGACAATTCCATTTGCAGTACTCATGACTGCACAGATAAACTGCTCATGACAGAGCAAGCCTTAACTCAAACAAGTCAGTTCAAGTAATATTAGGAATAGAAAAAGACTAATACATGTACTTTAAATACTTCTGGCTCCATAATGTCATGCTGTAAGTTGAGGGGAAGTTGGCAGAGAACTCACTGTAGAGCCCTATTTCCTACCTAATTAAGGACAATGACAGATAAGGGAGCCAGGCACATCCTTTTCATATTAAAGTGATTATATATTTTTAATACTTAATCTGTCTGACTCTTTTTGCTAGATTTCTTATAAAGCATATTTTAATGACATTATATTTCTTCTCATGGCAGTGCCTTAGTCTGTGATAGTAAAAGACACAATTGTTCTTTGTTTCTTACTGGTAGTACAGATCAGTAGTTACTAAATACTGGTTAATACTGGTTAAATTCCATAGTCCATATTATTCAGGAAATCATGCTAAGTGAGTATAAAATGGATTTTATCTTTCATCTATTTATATTTGGAAAAATTCCCAGTAAGAGTTACCTCCTGTGATTATGTAGGGGCATAGTTCTTTCAATAGCATTTTTTTTTTGTACTAGAAGTTTTAAAGCAAGCCTTGATAAAAAACATTTTATCTTTTTTTGGTTGGTTGGTTTTCTTAGTATCTTCAGAGTTTTCTCAATATAAATTATTTTTCTCAGTTATAATTTTAGATCTCTAATCCTATGTCTTGCTTAAAAATACCTACCTTTTATTCATTACAGGGCATATGATGATATTTAAAGTATTTTAAATGTTTTATGGAGTCTTGTGACAAGCAATAGTTTCCTGATTTAAAAAATATATTCCATGAAAGCAGGATTTGTTCTCTTACTTCAACTCTCTGCCCACATAGTGCTCACCTGTGAGCAAAGAATAAAAATTGCCTACATTAAGAGGGATCTTTAGGAAAATGCTACATATGTATTAATTCAATTACAGGGAGCATACTTCCTTAAAATGCCTATTTTGCTCCAAATCTTTATTTCCTCCCCACAGATTTTTGCTACAAACTAACAGATAAAAGCTACAAGTAACTGATAGCTCTCCTAAGGATTGCCATCTAAAAAGTGTCTAATTGTAGCTGGAAGATCTGTTCAAATGCAGGTTATTCCACTGCCAGAGGTACATACTAATCAAAAGGCAACAGCCCTTATCATCTTGTCAATTTTCCAGGCTGAAATGCTTCATTTCTTAAGAATGCATTCCTTTTACTGGAATGATGGGTGTGCTCTGTGCTCTGACTTGGTGGAGTTCACCCTCTGCTTAAGCCACAGATACCTTCCATTAATTTTTTTTCCTTTTCAGAGTTGATCTCCTCCTTTCTATCCTTAATGTAAAATTTGAGCATTTCAAAACCACACACTTTTGTGGAGCACACTGGAAGCAGTTATCTAGGAATACATTGTGGTTTGGAAAAGTACTAATTTCCATGATTTGTAGGAAACACCAAAGGAATTAGTAACAAAATCATCGGTATAGTGTCAAAACATCTTCCAAAATCAGGAAGGCACCTCCCAGACAAGAGGGTGATTAAACACAGACTCTCCCTGCTTTATTAAGGTAACCTTTTGATGGGAACTCTAAGATTGAGCCTCAAGTCTGCCAAAGGCTTCCTTCGATTCTCAGCTCTTGTCTGCAGCTGCAGAGCCAAGACATTTGTACTGTATTTGCCTCACAGAGAGGTTGGAGTGCCAAGTTCAGAAATATCTCTAAATCTCTTGGAAAGCAGTAGTGAGAAAAAGGTGTAAGTGCAATGCATCATCTGCTCCCTGAGAACCTCTCCAGTATTAGAGAGCTTAGAGGCTGCCCAGGAAAGTCAGACATGTTACACAAATGAGGCACTTTAGAGAAAGCCTGGATGTTTATGTAACACTATCAAAGAAGTGATTGCTGCTTTCTGAATGATCTATCAGTTCTCCTGAGATGTCTGAATGAAAAGCAAGGTTTAGAACTCACTTGAAAAATATCTGTATTTTTGCTTTGCTCCTGTGAAGGGAAGCTGTGACTCACAGGTGATATGCAAAGTGCAAGATGAGCCTCTGAGAAGAGTCAGGGAAAAAAACCCGAGGGGAGGGGAGGGGAGAGAGAAGAGAAGAGAAGAGAAGAGAAGAGAAGAGAAGAGAAGAGAAGAGAAGAGAAGAGAAGAGAAGAGAAGAGAGAAGAGAAGAGAAGAGAAGAGAAGAGAAGAGAAGAGAAGAGAAGAGAAGAGAAGAGAAGAGAAGAGAAGAGAAGAGAAGAGAAGAGAAGAGAAGAGAAGAGAAGAGAAGAGAAGAGAAGAGAAGAGAAGAGAAGAGAAGAGAAGAGAAGAGAAGAGGTCTCCTATATTATAGGTTATCATCTTGATGGACCTGCTCTATAACATTCTTAGTGGTTTGGGGGCTGGATATTACAGGAGATCCCCTCTTCCCCTGAAATTAGTCCATATTAAAAAATGCTACAGTGATGTTACATGCATGTTTTAGAAAAATATAAAGATCAAACTGATGTGCACAGCAATGTGACTGGAGGGAATGGACAGGTGCTCAAATGGACAATGGCCAAAATGAAATAAACTTTATTTTTTTCACCCTTTCTCCCTTATTCATCAATCTGAAACAAATACATTCTTTATCTAAAATTATTTTCTTCACAAGCAAAACAAAAAATATATATGTCACAGAACATCATCTCAATATGCATTGCTGAAACTCGTCTGATTCCTTTAATTCCTTAACACTGTCAACATAACCTGATATGTTTATATGCAACGTGAGATCAGTGCTTAAAAATAAACCAAATAGGAATTGCAGTGTGTGTGTGTGTGTGTACAACAGAGCAATCTCTACTACTACTAGTGTCATGAAAACATGACACTAAAGGAAGACTGTCCATATATTCAGTTTTAATCCAATGGCTAGAACATGAGGTGCAGAAAATTATGCAAAGGTGATGGATTTTTATAAAATAAACTCAACACTAATTGTCACTGAAGCATCTAGACACAGTCCTATGTTCCTTTCTAAACGGAATGGCCACCCCACCACTCTTTTCCAAAGGTAAGCACATATCTAGCTATCTCCATTCCAAGCACAGCCAGTCAGACCCCAAACCTAAGGAATCAGTTCAACCATGGGCCCTTCAATATTTGCCATCCCTGTCTCAGAACACAAGATATTGTGTCAAAAGAAAGATTTATGCAGATTTAAAGCTTTACTGCTGCATTTTCCCTTAAGCACCAAAGAACTCAAAATTTTTAATACTTGGTTTTATACAGTTAATTATGGCTTCTCAATTTAGGCACCTGCATCAAATTAATGCAGAATGTAATGGTTGTACACTAAGCACCAAGCTATAGAGTAAAAAAAACAGTTGCATTGTTCACAGAAATTTGCTTTCAGTAGGTAGGTAAAGCAGAGACTACAGGAGATGGCACAAAGAAAAAAAAATCTATTAGGTGGAATAAAGTCCCAAAGTTTATTTTGCTTCCAAACCCAAAAATCAAGTGATTTCTAGTTACCAAAGGAATCAGGAACAGAATGGGCAAATGGGAGTTTTTGTGGATTTTAAAACAGTATGAGTCAAATGTTTAAAAATCAGCATTTTGGCTGCTGGAAAGTTGCCTACATGGAAGTAGGTCCTAGGAAATTTTCCCATCCATTAATTTAGTAGCAAAACCAAGCTCCTGGTGCATACAAAGGTTTGAGGAGATGAAAGCTCACAGCCCATGGTTAAGAGGAAGTGTTACCGTGACAAAGTATTAATTATGTATGAATACAGCATTGATGGCATTGCATGCATTCTGACACAGAGCAGTCCCCCAAAGGAAGTGCTATCTAATTGGTTCTATCAAAGGCAGGAGTTTCCTTGGCATCTAGAAAGGAATGTATCATCCAGGGGTCTCCTTCTCTGAGCAAATTTCCTTCCTGACCTCCCTGCTGGGCTCCTGCTCAGGGCCATACAGCTCACACTGCAGAACAGCCAAGGAGGATTTCTGGTTCTTCCAAAGGCACTTGCTCTCTGGCTAGGCAGTAGAGGAGGCTGAAAAATACCAACTTTGCACATCCATATAATTTTCAATAGCAAAAAATGACTCTACAGCAATTTCTGCAGGATATCACCAAATAGAAGAAAAAAACATCTACAGGGCAACAGCAATACAGAAATGGTGTTGTAACAAGGAAATGTGATGAAAAAACATGAGGAATTATCACTAAGTTATTAAAATATAGAAGTAAGCAAATCACACTTTATTGTCAGGTCACTGTTCAATTACCCTTTACAAATAGCTGCAATTAATAGATTTGGTTTGTTTATATAAATGCTGACATGAGACAGATTAACACATTGGCTGAATTAGAGGGCTAAACTGCTCCAATTTAATGCAAGTATTTGGCAAATCACGGGTGCTGTAACACATGCAGTTATTAAATGCCCTGAAGTCAGACCAAAAGCCAGATAAAAAATTTACTGATAGAATGCCTGTGAATTTCAAATTACATTAGTTAATATTAATGACTTCACTTACTTAAAAAAAGAAATTACCCCAAAAGTTTTATGCCATTTTAACCTACTCATCTCTACTTCAGATAGCATTCACATTTATATCTAACTTCATTTTAATGCTGAACTAAGTAATCATTTTAGCAGCACATAAATGCCTAAAAATGCAGCAGTGACTTCTAGTGGGGGTATTAAATCCTTCTCAAAATAAGTCCTATATACCCTAATTTCCACTATGAAATAAGGCAAAAGGACCTGTGTCCACAGTAAAACTGTGATAATATAAATGAGAATATAGTATCACTGTGAGTAAAACAAGAGAATATAAACTGATCTAAATCTCCTGTGTGTTCGCAATCAACAAAATCTCATTTGGAAGCTACAAAAAAGAGGTTTACCTCTCACTAACATTTCAATTTGCAGTTGAATTCTGGGGTTTGGGAGTGCAAAAACACCATATTAATGGCAAAACAGGGGCAGGTAGTGCTGAAAACCTCCTACATGTAGCCGTGTTAGCAGCAGAGCCAACTCAAACTTACATAATGCAGGAGTACTTGTGGTCTAAACGTGAATACTTCAAGAGGCTTTTAGGCAAGCAGCCCACGCTGTGTAACCACACACCAGATTATCTCCAGGTTAAGACACAGACTTGGGCACTTTAGAGGAAGACAAAGTGCTCCAGTACAACCTTACTAAAGGTGGGAATAAACTAGCAGAGAAAAGAGTGCCCCCAGAAATGCATTTTCCTGGAAAAAATAGACTTTGAACATGATTTCACTTCTCATAACTCACTCATCAGTGGTGGCTCCTCCATCACAATGATTTTAGCTGGATTTATGCAACCTTGAATGGAGGCTTCAATTTCTCCTATCATGCTGTCAAGGCAATCTCCTTCCTTGTGCACAGTCCCTGGAAACAGTTCTGTCAGGAGTGTATCTATACTTAATTAAGCATACTGGTAACTATGTGCTGGGAAATGTAAATAAATGATGCATTACTTGCACACGTGCTGGTCTTTGATTACGTGTCAAAAACCCCAAAACCACTTGGTTGTCAAGGCATGGAATAGTTTTAAAATGCTAAGTGATTTGTTTGGTTGATTAGTTGTTGGCTACAGGCAGCAATAGCCAGGTCCTCTCCCACAGGTAGGCAAGGGACGTGACACAAGTTTTGCAGGAAGCACTGTGTGTTGGTCAGAGGGTGATTTCACACTCAAAGCCCAAAAAACCGCCTCCTCCCTCCACTCCTACAAACTCCAGAACTCCGCACGCTTTATGGCCAGAAGCAGCTTGAGCCTGCAGCAGGAAGCATTTAAGCCCACTCAGGTAGAGCTATATACTTTCACTGAATGATCACCACTGTCTAAAACGACGAGGGAATCGTTAGCCGTGTAAGTCAGTCCGACAGGATAAGAAAGCCCGTGGCTAATTAGAGGGTTAAAGCTGGGAAATTCCTCAGGTTTCCCTAAGCATATGACAGCCTGGCTACAAACATCCGTTACTATAACACGACCTTCTCTGTCAAAGGCCACAGCCGTAGCATATATTCTGGAGGGGAAAACGAGGTTCAGACCGAAGCTGTCCATCTGGCCGATGAGATCCATCTCCGCACTGAATATCGTCACTCGGCTGCTGCCCTTGCTCGCTCCTCGAGCTTTCAGGTGCTCTACCACCACGACAGCACCCGAGCTCTGGCAGACAGCAACAGCTCTGGGGCTGACAAGCCGAGACCGGATCATCTGACACTTCTTTAATTCCCCCCTTTGGAAGTCGGCCGCCAAGCGGTACAGCGCGCCAGCCTCCGAGTCGGTCAGGATTACTTCGCTCTTGGCGGTGGCATCCAAGCCCCATGGCAAACAGAAGCCTTCCCGGACGGCCAGGACCCCCCTTCCCTCAGAATCGAAGGCCTTCACGGAGCAGTCCCCGCCGTCGGTGACCACCACGTGTCCGTCCGACGTGACCGTCACATCGAGCGCATACTTGATGTCGTTGTTCGCGTCCCCTCGCTCCCCGAACCGCCGCAGGCAGAACCCGCTCGGCCCGAAGACGTGGATCCTCTTCTTGCCGTCGTGTGCCACTGCCAGGCGGCCCGAGCCGGGGCAGGCCGCCACCCCGGTGGGGTTCACCAGCGACCCCCAGCCCCCCAGGCACAGCCGCAGCCCGAGCCCCGCGGGGGCCGCCGCCGCCGTCCCGCCGCCGCTCCTGCCCAGGGCCGAGGCGAGGCCGCCGCCGGCGGGGCCCAGGAGCTCCAGCAGCTGCAGCAGCGGGCGGCACTCGCTGGTCTCGGCGGGCCCGCAGAGCCGCCGGCAGAAGGGACACTCCAACCTCTGGCGCTCGGCGCCGGCCAGGGCCCCCACGCAGCCCCGGCAGAGGACGTGCCCGCAGGGCAGGTTGAGCGGCCGCCGCTGCCCGTCGGGGCCGTACGGCTCGAAGCACACCCGGCACTCCAGCAGGCTCAGCTCCGCCTCGTCCTCCGCCGCCATCCCCGCCTGAGGAGAGCGATCGGAGCCCCCGCGGCGGCCCCGGATCCCCGGGCCCAGCGGGGCGGGCGCTGAGCGCGGCCGAGGCGGGCGCGCGCCCCCTGCGGGCCAGCGGGGGCGGAGCAGGGCCCGGGCCGCCCATTCCACCGGGACCGCGGAGTGTCCCTGTACCCAGCGCTGCACCCGCACACACACCCGTGCTCATATAGCCACCAGGACATCCAAATATCCACCAGAATATTCAACTACCCGCCAGAATATTCACATAGATTTCACCAGATTCTTACAGACATCCAGTTATCAAATTACCATACTGCTACTAACTCTCTTTATGCCCCTACCAGAGTAAGGAATTAAGCCACAATTTTACAAAATCGTGGAATCACTAGATGGTTTCGATTAGAAGGGACCTTGATGATTATCTAGTTCCAATCCCCCTCCCATGGGCAGGGATGACCAGGATAGATCAGTTTGCTCAAAGCCCCATCCAACCTTTGAACACTTCCAGAGATGGGGCATCCACAGCTTCTTTGGGCAACGTGTTCCAGTCTCATCACCCTTGCACTAAGGAATTTCTTCTTAATATATCACCTGAACATACTCTCTGTCAGATTTCCCCTTGTCCTGTCACTACATGCCCTTGTAAAAAGTCTTTCTCCAGTTCTCCTGCAGGTCCTTCAGATACTGCTCTAAAGTCTCCTCAGAGCAGCCAGGCTGAACAATCCCAACTCTCTCAACCTGTCTTCATAGGAGATGTTCTCTATCCTTGTGAACACCTTGGTTTAATTGCATTTTCCGCTGTTCTGGCAAAATTTAGAAAATATTTACATTCAGCAGTAGTAGACACATTTCTCAGACAGGCACATACACGCATTTCTGTAAGGTGCATGGACAATATGTGCTCCTTCTGCTAGGTGTATTTACAGGGAATTCTCAGAGGAGTTACAGGGTACACACAGATCTTACACATCCTAAAATGGCTGTTTTGGCACGTGGCATTGCTCTTGCCAGGCTGTCGCATGCTTGGGAGTCCTGTGCAGGACACCACAGGGCATGTGGCAGCCTCGTGCCAAGCGCCTGGCCTTTTGCAGCTATCACATATCTCAATGTCTGAGATAAACTTTGGGAGCTCTCATGTTGCATTCGGAAAAAACTTGAAAGGAAGGAGATGCTTAAACCTGGTAGCTGCAGTACTGGCCAGGAGTGAAAACAAAACCAGCAGCTCTCAGCTTGCACTGGCCCACTGGCTGCATCCCTTCTTCTCTCTGTCTACCCAGCCTTGAAACACGAGTATCTATGAGCAATACTGAGTGTTCCAATGAGCTGTGGGCATGGGGACTGCTGTGCTAAAACCAGCAGACTCATTGCAGCTCTAGGACTATGGCATTCTAAAAAGCCCCATGGCTTTTACTCGCCTTCTATTCTTGACGAATTAGGATACACTACACTGCAATCATACCTTTCCTTTCAAAACAAGCTGCAAAGGGTAGAAGTTGCTGTGCTCTGTCAACCTCAAAGTAGAGAAGATTTTTCTCATATTCAGATGGAACTTCCTGTGTTTCAGTTGGTGCCTTTTGCCCCTTTTCCCATCCCCGGGCACCACTGTAAAGTCCTGTCCCATCCTCTTGTCAACTGCCCTTAAAGATATTTGCAAGCATTGATGGTCCCTTCTCAGTTGCCTCCTATCCAGGATACACAATGGCTCTCTCAGGCTTTCCTCATAAGCAAGATGCTCCAGTCTCCCATCCATCTCTAAGGTCCTCTGCTGGACCTGCTTCATGTTGAGGTCTCTCTTACACTGAGGAACCCAGAACTGGACACAGCACTCCAGATGTGGCCTCACCAGGGTTGAGTAGAAGGGCAGGATCACCTCCCTCAACCTGTTGACCACACTCTTCCTAATTCACCCCAGGACACCCCTGGCCTTTTTGGACACAAGGGCACACTGCTGGTTAACTTGCTGGACTCCCAGGTCCCTCTCTGCAGAGTTGCTTTCCAGCAGGTCAACCCCCAGCCTGTGCTGGGACCCTGGGATTTTCTTCCCCAGGTGCAGGACCCTGCACTTGCCTTCTCTGAACATCACTCTCTCCCCGGCTCCTGTGCCTGTCCAGGTGTTGCAGCGTGGCTGCAGAGCACTGTGATGTGTCAGCCACTCCCCCTAGTTTTGTATCATGATCAAACTTACTGCAGGTGCACCCTGTCCCTTCATTCAGGTCACTGATTAATAAGGTGAACAAGACTGGATCCAGTACTGACCCATGAGAACACTGCTTGCTAAAGCCCTCCAACTAGCCTCATCACAACACTGAGCTCCACCACGCAGACAGTTCTCAACCTACCTCACTGTCCACTAACCCAGCCCATTTCCTGTGGTAAAATACTCCTGATAACCTTCTTTCCCTCCACTTGCTTAGAGATGACATCCAAGTTGGGTTGTTCCAAGCATGAAGGTGAGATTGACTGGCCTATAGTTTCCTAGGTCCTCCTTCTTGCGCTTTTTCAAGACTGGAGCGACATTGGTTTTCCTCCAAAAAAGGAAAAGGAGAGGTCCTCAGTCACCCCTCCCATACTCCATGACCTTTCAGATATGATGGAGAATGGTTTAGCAATAACATCAGGTGCTCTCAGGACATTTTCCACCCATTCCTCCCTGTCATCCAGTCTACTTTCCTCCAGCCTTGCTTGCTGGATGGTAATTTCCTCTTGGCAGCTGCTTCCTTGCCTTGCCTGCTCACTGCCAGCTCTTCACTTGACATATATTCACAGGGATGGAGAGAACCAACTTGCAGCAGCTTCTCACCTCTCTGCCCAGCCTGGTGCACGGCCAGTGCCCCATAAAACAGTGTTTGAACTGCAGCTGCCACACTGCCAGGGCTGCTGGCTGACAAGGCTGAGTTGCCTCATCAGAATGCAAAATGCAGAACACCAGGCAGACAGCATCAACCTGCAATGGCGGAAAAGGAACAGGAACATTTCTTTTTCTTCGCTCTCATGATTTGAACTGATATGGAAGAAAAAGGTATGCTTTGGCAATGGCTTTTTGTGCATGGAGTTTAAGAAAAGCTGTTCACAACTCAAGGTAGTAAAGGCAGCTGTGTAGGAGAGCTGACTCAGTAAGCAAAATGGAAAAAACCCCTGCTTTAAGAATGCCTCATTTTAAAATGAGAGATATAAGAATAAGCAAGGTGCGAAGCAGGTTATTTTAACAAATTTTAATCAAGCCACAAACTTTAGTAGATATAGCACCTCCAGAAAATAATCTAGTCCCCATTGTTTGTGCCTCTCCGAGAAGTCATCAACTTTTTCAAGACACCTAATTTCACAGCAGTTGCCTGAAAAGAAGATAAGGATAACAAATTAGTGAATGATTAGTCAATGAAAAATGCAAATTTTTCAGCAATAAAATTGGAGGGTTTTAGGAAAGCTGCAAAAGGCAGGCCTCAGATACAGCAGAATTGTGAACAGTGCTAAAGCAACAGTCATGAGATAGGTCAGCAGAAAAATTATTTAAACTGTAGAAAAGGCAAGGGCAAATAGAACAATAAACCTATGTATTAAAGCTTGTCTGAATAGGTCTGAATAGCTTTCTAAGTTGCAGAAAGTTTATCTAGCAAGATACTAGGAAGGTTAAAGCTTAATAATGGAGCTCTGTGCGTTGTCTCTTACAAACAGGTATTGTATTCGAAATAAGCAAGCATTGTTCTAACCAAAGGTACGTGTGCTTATAGTGATTGGATGGAACTACTGTCAATATGCTTTTGCTTTGTGTGATTGGTCAAGAAGATTATAAAGTAAGTTGTAACATTAAGTTTTCTGGCCTGCTGCCTAGATTGTGAGCTGTTAGCATCTTCCCATTATCATAATCATGTAATGAGACTGATGCTGAAAAAATAAATAGCTTGAGGCACTTTCCCAGCAGCCCTGTCTTGTTCGCATCTGTAAATAAACCCCCTTGCCAGCGTCACCCTACAGTGCCTAACACAGCGCACTTGGGGGGAATTTTAATGCTCTCTTTTGCACTGGGATGCAATTGTCAATGCCAATGACTCACTGCACACAGACACTGCCAGAGTCTCAGAAAGTTGTAAATTTAAAAGTGAGATATTACAGCACGCCAGGAGGAACTCCTAAAATTAAATTCCTGGCATAGCTCCAAATTTCATTATTTTGATGGATTTGAGTTGCACATTTTTAGCATTTTCTTTGAGTGCCACGTTACTTTCCTTCTTTGTCACAAAAGTACAGTAGAAACTGTAGCACATGTAGGGCTGTATTAAAACCAGGGCAACTAGTTGAAGAGGTGCAGGCAAAGACAAAATGGTCAAACAGGACTCTAAGACTGCAGCTACAGGATTACTGAGTGCAGTATAAATCCTGGGAGAACAAAAAAGGTACCGAAGGGAGAAACTGTTTGCCTCTTGGGTTTTCTTCGTATCTTTTGAAGAACTGAGGATTTTCCATGCCAGCAAAAATCCCTGTGGCTAAGTGGTATTTATTTTTCCCAGTATTTTTCCATGACTCTAGCCTTTAGATAAGAAGCAAATGACTGTGTCACTCATCACAGGGCAAGGTAAAGGCATTTTAAAAAGGCATTTAAACATCTTTATGTGTTTTTGAAAAAATTCCTAAGGGTTAGGTGAAATTTTACTCACCAAACAAACTTTTAATTTCGGATTCAGGAACATAAAATGGTGGGCCTGAAAGAAAAGGGTGAAGCTAATCAGAGAGGAGACATGGGAAGAAGACAAAATTTACGCTGCAGTAGGAGAGCCAAGCCCTTCACTCACAGCACCTGGCCTGTAATGGGGCCCCAGGATGTAGTACCATCAGCAGGAAACAGAAAACATGTCCAGGAACTTGTGGCAGCTTGGGAGGCCAGACAGCTTCAGGTGTTGCTGTTGCTTCATCTGCAGCTGCAGCAGGGAATCATGAATGTGATGTGGATATGACCACTCTCAGTGTGCTGTGTGAATCCAGCCTACAATCTCTTTATACTACAGTGGCATGACAAAGGCTAAGAGCTGAACATTGTCAGAGGGAAAGCAATGAATCAAACTGTTCTTGCTTGTGATAGCAAGACCTGTTTTTTGTGGGGGAAAATTATGCTGAAGGGCCCAAAACAGAAAAAGATCTCCTTTTGTGAGTTAATATCAACTAAAAAATCTCCCACTTCAGTACATAATACAAAAACTATAAAAGAAAAAGTACCTTATGATTTTACAGAATTTCACCTCTTCCAAGTACATTCAGAGTGTGGTAGAGGCTGAGAGAGAGGCACAAGATGGGCAACATGTTGGGTTGCAAATACTGGATAAACAGCATGAAGCTGATGTTCTTGGGAGTGTTTCAAGCTCCCGAGGCCAGATAGGATGTTAATAAATGCTCTGACTTCCAGCTTCATTGTAGCAGCCACACTTACAGTTTCATTTCATTGTTAATATACCATGACAGTCCTCAACTTACCTTTAGCATGTCTGAATGCTAGAGAAAACACAAATTTAGTCCCAAGCTTGGTCAATATCTAAACTTTTAAACACAGTTATACACAGTCATACTGGGGTCACCAGCTAACAAAGCTATGCAGATAAAAATCTAACCAGCTAACAAAGCTATGCAGATAAAAATCTTGGGGAAGATATTAATGCATCTACAATTTAATACATCTACATCTAATACATCTTTATACAATTTGTATTAGAGCAAAATCACAACATGAGCGGTACAAAGTTCTCACCTTTGTGTTTGTTTGGATCATATGAAACTGTAACAAGGAGATAAGAAGAATTTTTCTCCACTAGGCTGATCATCAAACTGGCATAGCTAAAAGGAAAAAATTATACTTTATTATTTTTGTAAAGCATTCAAGCATAGCATTCAAAATATTCAATGAAATGCATTTCTATGCAGACAGAATTTGAACTGAACTGCACAGAGACTAACCAAAACTTGTTCAAATTTCAGCAGCATAAAATTCATGCTACACATGAAAAACATAAAATAAAAGTTGTATTTATTCCCCATAAACAAGCATTTATCTTTTTTTGCACATTCAACTCAAGATTAATAGACAAACTATTCATCTGCCACAGTCTAGAATACAGTACACAGTACAGTCCTAAAATTATTGTGAATTGAAGATTCTGTATCTAATTAAAAAATCCTGAGAGAAGGTTCAATCTAAATTTGGGCTGGCTATAGGCAAGAACAAAAATTTGTAATCAAGGAGAGTGAGAAGGAAAAGAACAAAGAGAGAAAAAGTAGATGTGGTGAAAAGGAAATAATAGAATTCAGATGAACCTTGCAGCCCTGCTTCTGCTGGGTTGCAACAAACCACATATTTTCCCACCAAGAGGCAGGGTGGCTTCCTGAAGGAAGAATACAGCACTCTGCAGCTGCAGCAGATGCTTGTGGTAGAGAAGAGCTTGTGTAGGTTTATCCTTTAAATGAAAAATGACTCATTAACAAGTCACAGGATCAAAAACTTGTCACTGATACATCGGAGAAAAGGTAGTAACAATGCAATTTACTCACCGTTGTCTGTCACATGGATTCACGGCTACAAGAGCTCCTCTGTCCCAAACCCCATCAAACTTGCCAACTATCGAGCTGTAAGGAGATAAGGAAAAGGCTTAAAAACAGTAAAAAGGGGCCTTCCTCTTCTTTCAGACACTTTTGTGAGGTCACAAGGATTCTGCAGCTAGTGATTCCCCTTTCTGTTATGGTGCAGCATTTTTATAATCCAAACCAACAGGATCTGGAACTCAATAAATCCTCCTGGCTCTTTGTCCTGCTGCAATAGCAAAGAGGTGTGGGAATTGGTCAGTGCTTCCCCATCCTTAGGGACTGATGAGACATGGCAGGGAGGAAGGAATGTACTTTTAACACATTTGGGCTATGAGTCTGGGTGTCCAGTAACCACATCCTTCTGTCTGACATGCACTCAGCACATCAACAGTTCTTGACCACCTTCTAAAACCCATGCATGATTTCATATGCAGGCTAAGGAAGCTGCCTTGTTGCTTTACTATCATTGACTCAGCACATTCAGTAACTTTAGACACCTGAATTCCCAGCTACACGCCCAGGACAGCTTCAGCTTGCAATTTGTTTAATGCTAGAAAAGCTAAGTTACACTGCCGCTTGCCTTAGTGCAACTCTGCTGCAGACACTAGTTTTGTTCCTGGATATGCTGGCAGATGGCTTCAGTGGCCACCCAAAGCCTGCCAGTGAGTAAGACTATCAAGAAATGCCTTTATTAATAGATGGTAAGAGCAGCCAGAGCAACACAAAAGAATATCTGGGGATAAGAAAGAGCCTTGTTTTTGGTAATTATTAAAATAGGAGTAAGACAGTAAGGTAGTAATTAAGTAAACTGCGCAATTTTAAAGAAAGTTTGAATAAGTTTACTTAGCAAAATGTGGCATGGAATTGTGCAATACCCTTCAGCCTACTGGGCAGGTGTCAGAGTCCAATTGCATCACCTCTGTCTTCATTTCTGTACAGGTTTTGGCTAGGGTAGAGTTACCTTTCTCCATAGTGGCTTGCATGGGGCTGTGTTGGTGGATTTGGGCTTGAAATCACGTTGATAACACACTGATGAGTTAGTTACTGTAGAGCAGCACTTACACAGCACCAACTTATTTTCTGCTCCTCACACCCTGACATCAGTGAGTAGGCTGGAGAGTACAAGAATGAACAAGACACTGGGTGGGGACACAGCAAACACAGCTGACCCCAGCTGAGCAAAGGAATATTCCAGACCATCTGGTTCCACTCTCAGCAATAAAACTGGGTGGGAGGTTGGTGGATGGGGGCACTGCTTGGCTGCTGGCTAGGCATCAGTTGCTTGGTTGGTGGTGGGCAACTGCTTTCATTTGCACCACTTGTTTTTCTTGGGTTTTATTTTCTTCTCTCTTTGGTTGTTCTTTGTTGTGTATTTTTTTTTCCTTACAACTTTTTGAAATTTATTTTTAATTATTAAACTGTTTTCATCTCCACACACATTTCTTTCTTACTTTTACCCTTTTGATTGTTCCCCATCATCTCATGATGGGGGAGAGAGCAAGCAGCTGTGTGGTGCTTAGTTCCACCACCTTAGCCAGAGTTAAACCATGAGAACTTCTCTCTCACCACTGCTATTTTCATTGCAATGGCATTGCTAAGTCTCTGGCATCTAACCTACAAGCTGATCCTGTATTTCCCACTCTACTGCGATGAGACATGATAACACTTTCAAGTGCTGACTTCTTTTAAGGTTCGCCAAGTCTAAGCATCTAATTTAAATAACCAGCCTTGTAACTGAAAGGAGATTTTTAAAGAGATAGTTAAACAAGCAATGGATGTTCAGGGCACAAAGGAGAGTTTAGTGGGGCAAGTGACAAACTTGATCTTCTGAAGCTTGGAGGCAGTTCTCCTCTCTGAGTAGCTGAGTCTGCTGGGTGACCTCATGCAAGCCACTGAGGTTTTCTGCACTTGGTTTTTCTTTCCAACTTTATTCTGGTCTAACTGGAATGGCAGCAGTGGCTCCAAACATGCATTTCATGTACTTTACTCCCAAGCTATTTCATCAAGGCCTACAGACATCTCAGGCTGCAGGCAGGCTCATGCTGTGGCCTTGTCCCAGTCCTGGTCTCCTGGCTGCCCAGATCTCAGGACCTGCTGAGTGTCTGGGTGCTCCTTGTCCCTCTGCATATCCAATTTCATTCACAACACAATGAAGCCATGAGGAAAAGGTAAAAAAAAGGCACACAGCTGTCTTTCATAGTGATGCAGATTCAGGACGAAGCTAAGGTATGAGGAAAGTAAGGTATGTAACACACTGCTATGTGTTTATACGGAAAGGATAAGGAAAGTATAAGGTATGTAACACACTGCTATGTGTTTATACAGTGTTCAGCATGGGTTAGGGACTACTACATCTAACAAAATTTAACATGGAAATCAGAAATTCACATATCAGCAGAAAACCCAGTGGATTTAAGAGGAAACTTGTGAATTTCTATCTCTGCATATGTTTAGTAGTTTCAGTAAATGCAATTTTTGATTTTCTTTTGAAGTCTTGCAGCCATAATTGTATTAGGAGGTACAGTAATTGTGTAATATAACTGTTTTACATATGTCCCAGAATTCCCAGAAAGAGCAGTAATTCCTGTTACTCTTTAACTAGCAAGAGTCTTTGAAACGTCCCATTCCGACAAAGGTCAGGAGCACATCTGAGTTTTCTTCTAATGAATGCTAGGCTAATGGAGATGAAAGGGACCTGTTAGTAGGCCAGCCTCAGCAAGAGAGAATTAATTTCAATTTCCATAATTACTGGGTAATTAACCAAATTGTCTGCACACAGAAACTAGAAGTGCATGTGCATTTTTCTAGTCACAGGTATCTGCTGACTGAAGTTGGGAATACAGTTCATTCTGCATCCAGAACGTCTATCTGCCAATTTATTTTGTGATGACAAACTACATACTGAATCCAGTGATATGCACCGAAATTGTCAGTAATTACCTACTTTTGTTTATTTCAAAGTATTATTACACCATGTTGTGATAGAAGTTACAAGTTTCACCACACTACTTGCTACAAAACTTATGACTGAATTTTTCAAAAATTTCTGAGAAGCTTAAGCAATCCTTGGGCAACTTGTCAACTCACAGCAAGAAAGATTTAAAGGGATCTACAGTGTAGCAAGTAACTACACTGGAGGGACAAGGCGGGCAAGAAACTAGGCAGTATCTACAAAGTCATGTTCATACACACCCTGTCCGTTTGACACTTTGAAAGACTAGTTACATATATATATCAGTCAAGTCAGCTGCAGCAGCAGAAGTCACAATCATGGTCTACTGTCTGAAAGACTCTGGATTCTAGTAATGAATAGTCTTTTTCCCAGTGTTTTGGCAGACTGAAAAAAAAGAGATCATATAGTAAACTGTGTTCTGGTGTCCTGAACTACCTATTGTGACTGTATGTACTAGTTCTGGAATGCCCATTGAAGTAAATGTTAGGACTTTACCTCCTTCCTACTGAAGAGACATGAGACAAATTCGTGTGCCTGACAGTTGTTTGTAAGAAGAGCAAACAAACACAAAAAACTTTGCCAAAACCTTATACTCTAGGGAAAAATCACATCTGAGTAAGAACTGCAAGAAGAGGGAACTATTGTACACTTCTGGATATATTCTCTTTACTAAGTTACTCTGAGTAAGGGATTGTGCTAAAGTTTTGCTTCATAGAATTCATCAGTAATGTTAAAGATAATTTGGTTTTACTGTAAAAGCAAAAATGTTTTTTGATAACTTTCACAGAATGGCTTGGAATAAGAAGCCCATTTAAAGATAATTAGTTGTCATCCTTAATTATTAACAATGGAATTAGACTTTTGCTGGAGATTGGCCATTCAAGTTTCTCATACAAATTAATATGAGTTTGGTTACAAGGACCTGACAAATCTTTGCCTGATTCAAATAAAATAATAGTACAGGACAGTATTAATACATATTAGATTATGGAGAATTGTAAAACACTTTGAGTATTCCTACCTGGACAAATCATAAATACTGCAGCAGTAGAGGGAAATGTTGCCAGAGGTACTCTACAATAAAAGCAAAGGAAACAATCCTTATCAGCTAACTATCTTTAAATACACACTCATAAGTATATATTTATATTTCACATCTTAAAATATACCCATACACTATTAAAAAAGAGAATTTTAAAACACATTTATATACAGTGGGGGAAAACACTGAGAAATATTTTTAGTTTTATTTTACTGAGGTAACTCTTCTGATCCCCTCCAGAGGAGTTCTAATCTACCACAGCATGCAACTTTTATCAATCTGTCAAGGCATGCCTCCAGTGTTAAAATACATTCCTTCTACATTCAGGTGCTTCACTGTTACAAGAAGGCCAAAGTAGTAAGTTTAGAAGAATAACTTCTCAGTCCAAAAATACAACACAGAGCTTCCTTTTAGACCTCTCCAGGAGAGGTGAATGATTACCAGTAAAACAGATGCATAAAAGCAGAATGACTTGTTTACTCAGTTATGCCAGCATTGCACGATTAACCACACCAGATCATTTGACATACCTGGAACATTTTTGCTCCTGAAATCTCAGGGACTGGCTCCTCACAATAAGGCAGACCGTGTTCTGAAAAAAATTCCTTCACTGCTTGCTCACTGATTTCCACACCAACAACGCTGTGCCCCATGTCCGCCAGCCTGCACACAAGAGAGAGAAGGCCCAGGTTTACATTGGGCCTACAGGCTGGGCAAAATTTGTATCTCCCATACATCATTTATTCATTAGGGAAAGCCTAGTTTTAGGATGCCCTGATATGTTTAATTCTGACTTTCTGAAGTGTTCACATTATATTGAACACCTGCCTTCCATGATCTGAGCTTAAATTAGCACCACTCAGCATACAGTTGACGAGGTCTTACATGCTTTATTTAGATTTAATGAATTATTAATTTATTCCTACTAACTCAATGAAAACAGGTGATCACAGTGAGAAACTGTCCATTTCAGAAAGGTGCTGTGCTCTGAACTGAGGTGACGAAGGCAGTGTCCACCCAGCTGCCTCTGTAGCTTGGCAGGAACGGGCAGCAAAGGGGGTGCAGTAACCTCTGCGCTTCTGCAGCTCAGCAAAACACCAACGTGTGTCAGAGCCAACAGTCAGCCTAGGGAGTAGGTACTGTGATAAAACCTGATAGCTGGATTACTTGAAGATGCAGTGCAGGTTTTGGTTTGTGCTTCCTCCCTCCAAGAAAAAGTACTGACTTGTATAGGCCCTAATTTTAAATACAACACTCCCTCCCCATACCATCCCCCCCTCAAAAAAAAAAAGTAAAAGTAAAACATGAAGTATAAAAAAAGGAGGAAGTTACATTTAGCCCAAATCCCTTAAATTTCCAGAATGGCATGCCACATGGTCTCTTGAAAATGTTGTCTGACACAGCTGACCTCATTGTGGGTAATTTAAGCTGGCATTGCTATGGAAAGCAGCACTGGTAAGGGCATAGATTCAGTCACTATGTTCATCTAAATTCAACATTTCCCAAGCTGAACTTGGGACAATCAGTAGGACTTTCAGATCAGACCTTATCTGTTCAATTTATGCTACTATACCAAACACCAGTTTCCTCCTCCCTTCAGCTTCCAGTGACACTGCTTTCCTAGCAGTGGAAATGTGGCACATTTCCACTGGCCAGTATAAGGTTGGGAATTCCCCCTCTCCCTCTATCCCTCCCCACATCAAGTAAGATTTTTGCTCTTATTATCTGTGTTTTACCATTTCATCTCTACTGCTTTACCACAAAGTGGGAAAAATATCCTCAGTCCATTCCTGCCATTTAAAAGAACAGCCAGATACTTTTGGAGGAGCCTGCAGAAGAACAGACACATTTTACTTAATTCTGTGAGTATTTGTGCTGGCACATGAAAAGCCAAGTGCTACACACTATGCAAGGTAGCATGAAAACTCCACAATGGCACATATGTTATTAGCTCAACCTGTTTCATGCCATTAGAAATAAAAACCTAAAATAAAAGCATTCACCTTCCACTTACACAGCAAGAAAGTCAATTTCACGTAATTCAGAAATCAACAGATTTCTGTTTGTTCGATTTTCTGTTTGCCTTTGCAAATAAACAGTCCAACCAACCCACCTCTAAGACAGTCATAACAAAGATTTTAAACAGAAAGATCATGAAACTTCTGCATCAAGCAAATCACTTCTACAGCTCTTGAAAGACAATATAATCAGGTTTGATGTTTTAGGTCCTTATCTTTTACTGCATGGTAGTTGCTCTGATGTCCTCTGCACATAGTTTCAAGGCCCAGTTTCACATGAACAATAGCGCAAAGCATCTCCATCAGAAAATTTAAGATTTTCTAGCCAAACTGTCCAAGCTCTAAGGTTTAAAACCTGATTCAAGAGTAAAAGCTCTAAATAAATTTCAATACCTTCTTTTCTCTGTCCTTTGACAAATGCAGGTCACAAAAATATCGATATTAATTTTTGTTTCAAAAACAAAAATTAATGTACCTATGTAAGATGATTTGCTTTTTGCAAATGTTCCATTTTCAATTAAGAGTTTCTCGAATGAGCCAAGCCAGTCATCTCATGGCATTACTTAAAACAGCTTAGGCAGAAAAGTGAAGTCACGTACGGATGCCCTTCTTCCTTGTGAAACCCGATGTTACCCATTTCCCATTTTTCTAGCCATTCCTCCTCTGTCACCACTCTGTCTTTCTGAGACCCAACATCAGAGGCTTCCAGGAGCCCGGATGCATCCGCTGAGTGGTCCATGTCTCCGGGGAGCGCTCGTAGCTGTGAAAAAAGAGAGACGAATTACCCCCACCCAATGCATAGTTTGGAACTGGCTCTTACTTCCTCGAAACGGACAAAAATTTAGTAGATCTCAAGAGATCACCGTTTGATGACAGTCGCAATATACCGAAAGCGACACAGCCATCAGCACACTCTTGGCTCCCGATAGACTCGGCCAGACCCCGTTTCCCGGGGCGGCTGAACGGGCCTGCCCAGCACTGCGGGTCCGCCGGTGGCCTCCCTTTTCGCACCCTTCGAGCAGCCCCCCTACCCCGGTAACGAAGGAGGGAAATGCCGACACTTCTCTCCCGTGAAACCCGCGGGCAGAAGGCGGGGGCGGGCGGCTGCTCGGGCCGGGGGACCCGCGGGGTGACCCGTGGTGGCTCAGCGCCGCCGCCCCGCTCGGCCCCCCCGCCCGGGCCGCAGCAGCCACGGTACCTGCACGGCCGCGGATCCCGTGAGGGCGGCGGGGCTGGGGCGGTGCCTCCCCGCCCTCCCCCTCGCTACGCACCGCGGAGAGCGGAAGCAGCGGCAGGAGGAGGCGGGCTGAGGGTGCACGGCACCGGGGAGGAGGAGGATGGCGGTGGGGATGGCGGCGACGGTGAGTGACTCCCTCCCTCAGCTGCAACGCCCACCGCGGGGCCGCTTGTTCCTCCCCGGGCTGGCGGGGCAGGTGCCAGCGCTGCCCCCGTCCTCACCTCTCCGCTTCACTTCCCCCGTCTCTTTCTCACTCCCTCCCTTCCTTCCCCCTTCTCCACCCTTTTTTCCCGTTGCAGCTCTAGCAGGAGGCGGCGCGGACACGCGTGAATGTGGTCTCCGGCCCCCGAGTGACCCGGCCCCGAGGTGAGTGCCAGGCGCCTGCCCCGCCGGCGGCACCGCCCCCGCCCGGCTCCGGGGCAGCCCAGCCGCGGGGGCTCCCCTGCCCGGGGTGCCCCTCGGGACCCCCGCCCGCCCTCCCGCTGCCAGCTGTCACAGCCGCGGCCCGGGCGGGCGCTGTCAGCCGCGGCCGGCGGGGCTGGGCGCCGCCGCTCGACTCGGGCTGAGTTTTAGAGGTGTGTGCACTCGCCGTGTTAATCAGGCTGCTCTCGCTTCCTCCCCGTCTCTGACAGTGTGTGTCTGTGTGGTTTCTTTTCTTCATTTTTTTTCTCTTCCCCAATGACAAACTTGCTGCCAACTGTGCAGGTAAACCCCACAAAGCTTTCCGATATAGGCCACGCATTACAGACGGATGAAACGTTATTGAATGTGACATTCACGCATTATGCATCCCTCTCCTTTTAAAGGGCTTATTTTCTCAGCCAGTAAGATGTCTACAGGACAGGATGCAAAGTCATGTAAAGCTTCGTAGAGTAAGCCATGTTTGCTTGTTCTGTAAAAACTTGTGGTTTTTTGGGAGGGTGTTTCTTGGTTTGTCAGGGGAAGTGGGCACAAAGTATCATACACCTGATCTTTTTCTCCCTTTCTCCCCACCTCCCTCTTACCCCTATTGAAGGGGTAAGAGCAAAAATATGTCTGCAATACTGTACAACTGATCTCTGCCTTTCAAAATGGGCAGCCTCTCTGAATCTGAAATATTTTTACCAAACTTCCTAGTGATTGACACTTTTTCTACTCACCTACATAATGCAAAATTCACATGTTCTTTTACCTTCTTGGATAAAAGGGCCCCACAGCAGCAGCAGACTGTGATCACCTGATGGTCACCAAAATGAGTCACCTGGTGCCTTGCTCACTACTTCTTCCTCAGTTGGAAGCTTCCAACTGTAAGGACTATGGCATGTCAGAACAATTATTTACCATCAGAAGGCTAGGGGACACAGAGAGATACTGTTGTGCCACTGATACATAAAGAAAGCTCTAGAGGGGAAAAGCCACCATTTTCAGCAGTTTAGGGAAATCTCATATAAATTGGTAAGTTACAGTGAAGCAGTGAAGTGATTTTTTTTTTTTTTGGTCAGAGATCAATAGAGATTGACTTAATAACTTTTTTCCTACCTCTGGCTAGTTGTAATTGGAGGTGATACATACAAGAAACAAAGTTTGATTTTATATTGGGTTGTTTGATGTTTGAACTAATTTTTCTAATGTGTGGATACCCTCATGTGATTTGTCTTCCTCTCACAAATAATTTCTCCTATCTTGAGAGGAGAATGAAGCACTAGTTTACTTGACTTGAATCAGCTTAATATAAAATTTTGTAAAAATTCCCACTCTCCTCTTGTTACCTTGATGGAAATTCCTTTTTAATGGAATTTCTGAACAAAGATACTGCTGCCTTGTCCATCACTGACAGGTTGAATAAGGAAGTTGCATCCTGAAACAGGGAGAATTGAGAAGTCTCATATATATATTAAAAAAACCCTCCTAAAAACATAATTACAAATTGATCACTATTACAACAAAATAACATTCATGTTGCAGTGCTGTGGTACAAGGGGTTAATTTCCACTTAATTTCTCTATGTTGTAAAGCACTCTTTAGATTTACTTCTTCCTCTAGGCTGTCTTTGTGCTTTACTCCCTGTGAAAAGAATGCCTTTGATTTTAAATATGCTTTCATATTTCTGCATCATACTTTCTCACACTCTGTGGTTTCCAGTTTGCATGGTTAACTGTGGTCCATTCTGTGCTCCTACCAATGCAGTCAAAGACAGCTACAGAGCGCTCATGCTGTAAATATTTTATTTTGTCCAGTGGAATACTTAACAAACTTTGTAATATTCCAATCACAAATGCAATATAATGGCAGTCCAGATTTCAAATTCTTATCTCTTTCCATAGGAGGCTGTGCAATTCTTGGAACTGGTTGCTCATCTGGTATTAAAAGTCTCTTCAGTACACTGTTTGGAAAAGTGCTTTACAGTGCAAATCTCTTGCTGCCAATAAATCAGTAGTTAGCAGCATGAGTGTTACTCCGAGTGGTATTTGAATGCTTGCATCAGCATTGAGCTGTTGTCTGTTCACTTTGCCAAGCCAAATTCCAGTCCAGGTCTTCACGTAATGCAAATCAGATTATTGAAATCCAGGATATGCTGATCTGGAACAGCCTGTCAAGAGGTACTCAGGGATCTAATCTTAACGCCGAATTTAGTTTAAAATAGTAGTATTGTTCCTTTCCCCCAATGCCTCATTCCCATTTTCCTCTCAAATTAACAGTCACGCTGAACAGATTCTTACCTAGGTAACTCTGTGAAAAGTAGTGTTGTGAGTGGCTGTGATTAGCTCTGCAAAGTCAAGCAATTTAAATTAATTAACTATTGCCTACCTTTTTTCAGCTCTAACAATACAATGTCAATGGGAAGAGTACGAACAAAGAAAAAGGCATGTTCTTCAGATCAGTCTCCAGACAACCTTCCTGTGAGGAGTTCTGGAAGACAGGTATTTATAATAATTTAAAAACATGTGAGTTTGTACTTTGCTATTTTTTATTTTCTGTTGTCATTTGTAAAGAAAGTGGGCTTCATTGTGGGTAAGTCAGGTCTTAGACTACTTATCCACAGAGAAGGAGAATGAGTTAGTTCCGTGAATAGGCAGGTCAAGCGTCTCATTTTGCAAACAATATTCAGAAAAGATAAACACTCTATATAATCTGTAAGTACTTAATGTGTTAAAAATACAATCACAGATTTCTGTACAGTCAGACAAAGCTGTCTGCCCATCCAGACAGAGACCTAAAACAACATAATACACAGTACCTTTGAGGCCCAGAAGAGACATTTGGTATACAGTTTTGTATCCAAAAAAATGCCTGTATCCAAAAAAGCCTACCCTAATATTTTATTTGAGGCACAGATAGGATTGCCACTTGTAATTAGTACCAATAAGTATTTTAAAAGAGGAGATTTTCTGAAGGAGAAATAAAATGAATGCATGAGGCTTGACTCCTTGATGGAGCTTAAAATACTATTTAAACTGGAAGCTTTGCTTATAATTTCTTCAGTGCCATCAGTTAGACTAAGGCAAGAAATTTTTAGATATTAATGATATTTCCAGTCTTACTGTGGGCTTGGAGGTTTTTTTTGGCGGGTTTTTGTTTGGTTTTTTTTAGTGGAAAAATCTGACCTAATTTGACAGCTGTTTCATGCTGCAGCTAGTTCACAATGGCTGCAAAGATTTTCGTTAGGGTTGTTTTAACTATGGGATGCCACTCACAAGCTGCAAAACTGTCTGAATGCTGCTTTGTAGAAGATGCATTTGTGTCATTTATGGTCAGATTCCAGCTATTCTTTATTAGGTGAAGAAGAAAGCAGCTGAAGCAGCAGATGATGATGATGAAGCATCAGAGAAGAAATATAGAAAGTGTGAAAAAGCTGGATGCACTGCAACATGTCCCGTTTGCTTTGCCAGTGCAGCAGAAAGGTTTGTTACTTTTTATTTGCATTTTTTCATAGACTTTCTAAACCTGCAGCTGAAGTTTAGGATTCTAACTATATTCTGAAAAATCCCTTCATACCTAAATGTAGAGGGAGAATCGAAAGATAGTGCTAATAGGAGTCTTAAGGTGCCAGGAAAATGTCACAAGTTATTCCTGTTGTCCATAACTTTCTCCTGTGCAAGTTGCTAATTCAGATACAGACTATCTTTGGGATATGCTTATTTATGTTATTAATGGTGTCCTCTGGAACATGCCTTGCTTCTGTGAAAGTGGGAGCATATTAGTGTAATCTGAGAAAGTTGAACTTGCTTTCAAGATGGAAAATGAAATCATCATTTACTGTAGAAAGTCTTTACCACTCCTTCACTGGAATGCTTTGCAGTCTGAGGTGAGATTCTAGCCTTGAAATTTTAGGTCATAGGAGAGAGAGTCATACTTACATGAACTCTTTGTTCTTGTACACTTCCTCTGCACTTTCACAAGTGCTTTTGCATTCTGACTTGGTGGTTTTGAATGCATAATACTGGCAAGGTATACCTATAATAGGCAACATGTTAGACCTCATTATGAAGCAGGCACACTGTAGATATGTAGCACTCCTCCCCCCCTGATAATTGAGACAAACTTTCGTTCTTTATAGCACTGAAAAATAAATAAAACTAACTATGTGTTTCATTTAGTTATATCCAAGGATTGTTCTTTGGTGGCGGGAAGTCAATGTATTCTGGCTGTTGTCATAGAGAAGCCAAGTTTTGGCAGTTGCCTGACAGACTTGTCTGGGAAGTGAGCACCTGTGAGATCAGCATTGGTGATATTACAGTTTTTATTTAGGAAACAATATATACTGCTTACTCATCTTCTTGAATTGTTATTTTAATATTTTGATTTTCATCTTTCCCACCCCTCCCCCCAAGTACATACTTTCAACTTTATCTGTTTGAGATGAGCTCATTTCATGGCTACTTGAGTTAGTAGCTTAGGTCACTGCTTTTTACTTTGTGCATTTATCTTGAATAATTTCAGTGAGTTTAATGAGAGTATTCCAAGTGAAGAACAATTGCTTTATCTGATGAATGCAATCTTTGTAATGGATATTTCTTTTTGAAACTGA